GATGTCACAAATCTCTTAGTTTGCAGGATTGGGTCTATCGCTGAGGTCTACACTTATCTCTCGGGAAGGTGTAGTATTCGCGGTATCAGGCACGATTATGCAAACTATCAGACTAATGAGATCCATTTGGTCTCATTTTTCAAAAATTAAAACATACTACTTTTAAAACTCAAACTATATATCTTTTATACTTAAATTAAATCTCAAAAATTATTTTCATATACCATATTTTCATAATTAATCAATCAAAAAAAAAAGTTGACCGACAATATTGTGATTTCATCGTGGTTTGTTCGTTGATTTGGGTGCTTAGGCGTTTCGGTAATTAACCCAATTTGAGCTCGAGGTTAATTCTATGAGTTTGAGCTGCTCATTTATAATGAAATAGCAAAAATTCTTTTGATGCAAACATTTATTGTGATATAATAATAAAAAATATGAGAAAATAGAAAAAATAAGAAATCACTTAATTCAAGTAATCAAAATAAAATTTTTATCAATTATTAACATCATTGTATTCAAGGAAAACAAATATTTTTAAGAAGATTTACATACATACCACTTCTTATGTATTACATATCTAACACCTAATCTTCAACTTTTACATATATGTCATCTTACCTATGCATGAAAAGATATATTTCACCTTTTAATAGCTAAAATAGTAGTAGTTTTGATTTGACGGGAAGTAAAATTTTGGTGTTAGATAAGTAAAAACGAAAGAATTAGGTGGTAAGTACGTAAATGCCCTTATTTTCTAGGTGGATTATACAATAATATCTTGGAAGATTTACATGCACGCCAATCAATTCTTATGCATTTACATATCCAACACCAAAAATCCATTTTTTTACATATATGCCACTTTATGCATGCATGAGAAGATAAATTTCACTTTTCAAAAGCTAAAATAATGATATTTTTTTGTGATACAAAAGATTTGGGTGATATCAATATTTAGGTATTAAAAATGTAAATACATAAAAATTGGGTGGTATGTATGTAAATGCCCCTAATATTTTTTAGATGAGCTCGCTCAAGTGATAATGAATTAAATTAGAATTTGCTCAAGTTTAGCATATTAACTCATTAAACTCGATTCACAAGTCATTTATAGAGCTGAGCTCAAGCTGGCACATGAGTCCGCTTCACTCAATTAAACCCTAATGATTGCCATTACCTTCTTTTAACATTGAAGGAAGATGAATTGTTGAGATTGATTAGCGGGTTGCCTCGCATAAGCTCGGCTTCCTTAGCCTTCAAATCCTCTTCCTGCTTCTGTCGCTCCTGAAATATTGAAGATGGTTTGGTGTTAATGAAGGATTGCATCAATAATGAAATAACAGAACAAAAATAAATTGCAAGGAAATCAAAATAGTCGATCCAGTATAATTCTAAGTTTTGCAAAATGAATATGAAGATTTTTTTACTACATTTTCATAAAAAATATAAGGAAGATTTACCGACGTGCCAGTCAATTCTTATGTACATACATATCTAACACCTAAACATTAATTTTCTCATATATATATCACCTTACCTATGCATGAAAAGGTGTATTTCACATCTTTAAAGTTAAAATGGTGGTATGTTTAATGTGATATGAAAGATTTGGGCGGTGTACAAGTAAAAATTGAAGTTTAGGTAGTAGATATGTAAATACATAAGAACTAGATGTTATGTATGCAAATGCCACAATATATAATGAACAAATATAGATATATGTTCAATTGACATATTTGATTTTCTTTATAGCATATACATCTTAGACACGATGAGCAAAAAAGGAATGCATTAGATGGATAGAAATATGACACTTTTGGCTTTTTCATAATTTTTTGGAGTAATTTACATGGTTCTTAACATGATTGTAATGCTAGACTCAATCTGCATTTTGTATGATATCAAGATTTTTTTTTTTTTTTTTTTTTTGGGGGGGGGGGGGGGGGGGGGCGGCGGCCCCATTCCCTTTCTGAAAAAAGGGGGCCATATATCTAACACCTTTTAAATTTATAGCACATTTTCATATCACATCGAAAATACAACCATTTTAACTTTTAAAAAGTGAAATACACCTTTCATGCGTATGTAAAAATTGAAGTTTGGGTGTTAGATATGCAAATACCTAGGAATTGAGGGGTGTGTATGAAAATGTTCCTATTATTTTATGGTTGTGAACATAATTGGTAGGATACCAATGATTAGAGCTTCAACTATTTTTATATGTATTCCTTCAGAGCGTGATTAACATAGATGTGGTAATTGGACATGGGTTGCTCAAGACACATGAGACGAATTAATATTTGCAATATGGGCCCAAGGCATGGCGGGAATTTCACTTTTGGCGCATAATTGAAAAACATGAATGTTGGAATTGGAACAATTATCGAGCAATCTTCTACCATCGAAAAGGTCCGGATGGCAACATAATTTATTTGGCATCATCCAACCAAGAAATAATTGTTATAATGTCTTTTTTTTGTGTATCACAATAGCTTATCAGTTCGATTGATTTTGTTGTGCGAGTTAGATAGGCAGAAAAATATTAATTTGTTGGATATTAATAGAATTTAACTAAATAATCTCAAATGTTCAAAAAATTCTATTGATGATCCTTGATTATGCCATGGAACTTTATGGAAGCTATATGAAGAACGCGCTGAAAAAAATTATAGACTGATTATGTAATGGATCATTTATTTAATACATGTCATGCGGGAGAATAAACTTACAACCTCTTTTCAAAATAAACTTTGTTTCTATTTCTAGGCCCTTATGGTACTATATATGAATATGTTTAGACAAATTAGTAAAACTAGCTATAAGGCAAGAGATGTAAATTTATGACTGTTGATGATTTTGCAAGATATATTTGGATTTTAGTAATAAGAGTGATTCATTAATGACTTTCCTACATTTTTCAAATGCGTTCAAATAGAGAAAGACTATTCGATTGCATCTATTTGAAGTGATAATATTAGAGAATTTGATAATGAAATGTTTGATCAGCATTGTAATGAATAAGGAATTAAAAATAATGCCTTAGTTCCTAGGACTTCAAATAGCAGTACAAGATAGTTCAAAGAAAAAAGAAAATATAATCTTGAGACAAATGAATGGCTAAGTCTATGATTTGCAAGTATAATCTTTCAGTGTATTTATGCCATCCGATGAATAGAACAATTATCATATTGATCTTGTTTAAGATGTGTTATGATCTATGGAGATGATATAAACCGAATATTTCACATTTCAAGATTTTGAATACAAGCACTTTGTGTGGAACGATGAAAAGAGCCATCTTTAAAATTAGATCATTAAGTCGAATGAAGGAATCTTCCATGGATATTTAGAAATAATTAAAATTTTAAATTTTCATCAAGAGAGCATTTAATTTAAGAGAATCCATCTAATATTTATGTTATTTTTTATTACCTTTTTTTGGAGGGAGTTGAACCCCAGATACCCTTTTAGATGATATGAGGCCACATTCCCAATGTTAGAATTTATTTAGTTTTTGTTTGAGAAGTCTATTAGAAGATAGTGTTGAAAAGATATACATCGGAAAAAAAAAATGATAGTAGCGCTTCCCAATTACAGCAGGAACGAGTATACAAAGAAGTCAAATAAAGGATTTAGTTATAGAAGATACATCACAAAAGATTAACGACAGAAGTCATGAAATGATAATGATTATTCTCCATTCATATTTGAAGTAGAACATAAAAATATAAATGAGGCTTTGAAGAATAAATTTTGAAACATTGCCATACAAGAAAAGTTTCATCAGTTGATTAGAAATAATAATTCAAAATTAATCATGATTAGAAATAATAATTCAAAATTAATCAAGAGACGCTATAATCATAAAGATATTGAAACAAGAAGAATCTTTAAAAATGAGTTGATTGATTCAGATTTTATAGTTAGAAATAAGACTTCTTAATCACAGATAAGATTTATTTTGAGGAATCATTTACCTCAATAACTATATAAGAATCCATGAGGTTGTTACTAAAAAATGGCATCTTTATTTGTCAAACCACATATACAAATAATCCCATTACAAGATTTTGATAAGGTGAAATTAAAAGCAATCAAAACCATCATGAGCAACTCAATTAACAAGAAAGAAAAAGAACACCTAGATTTCTAGACTTCAAGTTGCGCGTAAGGGGATAATAGATTGCCTATCATACCTAATTGCAACCCAACTAATACCATGTTTTTTTATCTTATTGCGTACTTAATTTTAAGAGAAACCTAAAGAATTTTATTGTGTTACAATGAAGCATACATTAAAACATTTGATAATAGCACTGGATTATGAATTTGGTATCCTCGGAATGTGTATTTTTAAGAACCTCTTTTAATAATTTTTTTCCTGCAAAAATTTCTCCACGATAAATTGGGTAAATTATTAACACAATAAACAACTTAAGAGGTAAGAAAATTTTGATGAAAACAACAAATTGTGATATGTATTAATTATTTCTTTGAGATATGTGCGGAACTAGTGAATTTAAGTCATCAAAAATTAGTGGAGTTGATTGAACCTCAACTAAGCTCATAGAAACAGCTTCAGAAGACAGGTCAAGCCCATAGACAACACGAAACTAAGTGAGGTCGGCCACATGGACCCTTTTTCTCCATTTCTTCCTCTTGAGTGTCATATTTTCATTTAATTTTAAGAGATTAAGATCATTTTTTATACAATATACCCAATTCTTTTTAGGTATATCTCTGCAGTTTTGCCTTTCTTAACATAAGTTGAATCTAAAACATATACTCTCCAAATGGGATCATCAGATCGTCGACGTTTAATATGACCAAACCATCTAAGACGACTCTCTCTAAACTTGTATGCAACCGGAGTTACACCAACCCTTTCATGAATGGATTCATCTCACGTTGTCTCTAATTGTCAAGCAACTCATCAACCTAAGCATTCTCACCTCAGCAACACTTAACTTTGTTTTATGTTTCTCTTTTAAAGGCCAACATTCTGTGTCATAAGCATTGCAAGTCTCACCGCCGTCTTATAAATTTTTTCTTTAAGTCTGAGCGATATTTTTCTATCACACAATCGGCCTGATGGATTCCTCCACTTCAAACAACCAACCTGAATTCTACGAATAACATCGCCATCTACATCACCATCACTTTAAACAATAGACCCGAGATATCTAAAACGTTCATACTTTTTAATGATTTGATCACTCATAGTTACAACTCTGCTTCTAGAGCTACTACTAATAAAATTACATTCTATGTATTCATATTTAGATAAACTCAAACGAAGGCTTTTAGACTCCAATATAGATCACCATAATTCAAGTTTTTTCCTGAACTTCTCTAGTCGTATCCACAAGAAGGATATCATCAGAAAAAAGCATACAACAAGGGTAAGAGCATCCATAACTAAAGCAAAAAGTTATAGTCTTATAGCTAATCACTGATGGCTTATAGCTAATCACTGATGTAATTCAACTTAAATAGGAAAATACTTGTGAATCCTCCTTCTATTCAAACAAGTAACAGCTCTAGTATAAATATCTTTAATGACTTGAATATAAGTCATATCAATACCTTTCTTTTCTAGAACCCTCCAAAGAATTTCTCTTGGAACATTATCGTAAGCTTTTTTTAAATCAATAAAATTCATGTGTAGATCCTTCTTACTCTCTGTACTTCTACATCAAACCTCTCAATAAATGTGTAACATTCATGGTAGACTTGCCCAATATAAATCCAAACTGATTATGAGAAATATTTGTATCATGTCTTAAATTATGTTCAATTACCCTCCCCTATAATTTTAAAGTATAACATACTAACTTAATTCCTCTGTAACTTGCACATTCTTGTGCATCCTCTTAATTCTTGAACGTGATGACCAAAATACTCTTCCTTCATTCCTCAGGCATCTTTTTAGTTTTTAAAAAAAATATTAAAGAGTTTAGTAAGCCAAAAAACTCTCAAATCTCCTAAATATTTCCACACTTCAATAGGAATATCATCAAGTCATGTTAATTTTCCACCCTAGGCTTTCTTTAAAGCCTCCACAATTTTCTTTTCACTAATGTGACGATAAAAATAAAATGTCTTATTATTATTAACAATAATAACAGCACTAAGCTTGATCATATTTTCAAAAACTACATTTAAAAGTTTATCAAAATAGCTCACTCACCTATGTTGAACATCTTCCTCCAAAAAAAGTACTTTTGAATTTCATCTTTAATACACTTTATTTGAATTAAATATTTAATTTTCTTTTCTCTTTGTTTAGGTATTTTATACATATATCTTTCAAGCTCTTTAGTATCTAATATATTATAAAAATCACTAAAAGAAGAATTCTTAGCATCACAAATTAATTCTTAGCATCACAAATTGTTCTCGTAAACTCACTACGGGTCACCTTATATATTTCTCGGTTCTCTAAGTTTCAAAATTTAAACCAATATTTATAACACAACTTATAATATTTTATCTTCTCTTGCACATTATTATTCAACCGCCAACTATTTTTATTTATAAAAAATTTTTCCTTTTGAATTAGTCATAATTTAATTTATTTGTTAATTCCTCTTGGATTATAAATTAGAATGTTAAAATTATATTTCTAAAGCACAAGCATTTAAACAACACTAATAAACTTCATTTGGCTATAAATATTATGGGATTTAGGATTGAAGTTAAAACAACACACAAATTTCACATCAAAATTTTGATAATTTCTCTGTTCCAAATGTCTTTTAAGAGTACATTTGGGATTGAATATAGGTACCTGTAATAATATTTATAGAATTATTATAGAAAAGAGCATATTATTTTGAAAGTTATGGATATTATAGCAAGTGTGTCAAAAATTAACCCAACACGCCAACATGACTCGAACTCCACTCGAAAAATCTGGGTTAAGGTTGACCCGAATATTTTTCGAGTCCGGTTCGGGTCAAAAAATTCGACAACGTTTATTATTCGGGCCGGGTTCGGGTTGAAACCGAAAACCCAAACATTGCCCAAATAAGCACAAAATTTCGAGTCAGGTTCGAGTTAGCAAGTTAACCTCGGGTTCGTGTTGATCTTATTCGGGTCGGATCATTTTCGGATCAAACCCAAATCCGACTCGGTGACCCGAATTGACACCCTTGTATTAAAGGTTGTTTTGCTTTTGAAAAGCAGGAAAACTGATTCCCTATAACTTGCAAAATCTAGTGGATTTAGTTGTAAAAAGCTACTTCCAATCACAGCAACATCTAAAAATCAGTAAGAAAGATATAGTCAAACAACACGTTTGAAGCTTTCTAAAAACGAAGCTCTGGAAAACTTAAGTCAAATAATTCTTGAGGTTCTTAATCTCAGTTCATGCAATGCAATCTCCATGCACTTTCTATTATGATATAATATTTTTTAAATTTTTATATTAATATGAATCTGATTTTGCTATTATGAGTTCCAAGTCTTGGCAATTAGAATTGGAAAAGAAGTAAACCAAGGGAAACTCTTTCTATTTTATTGCCACCATCAATCATTGCATTTTTATTTATTGATTGAGTGATATAATACTATTTATTAGATTATTTTTTATTCAACTTGTACGCACTTATAAATTGGGCCCTTGCTAGCAAAAATCTAAAATTTTTCATAAACCTTTCCATTTCTCTCTTCTCCCATGTCCCAAAGCCATCAATGACTTGTTATGTAAATATCAAGTCAATGAAACCCAAACAATCATACCTGGAACCTAGTCCGGTTAATTGATCCTTAATCTTTAGTAATGAGGTTTGTACAAGTAATTGGTTTTATTGGCTGAATTGTTGAGCATATACTAGATATTGAAGGTTAGGACAAGAGGAATCGTCCTTTTACCCCCCACTTGAGTTATGATAGGGATTACAAATTGGGCTCATGGGTCAGATTCGGGTCAGACCTATGTGCCAAAGCCATTAATGAGTTATTATGCAAATATTGTGTCATTGAAACCCAAACCTTCATATGTGGCACCGTCTGATTAGTCCAGCTAGTTGATCCCTACTCTTTAGCAATGAGGTTTTTAACAAGTAATGGGTATTTTTGGTTGAAATGGTTAGCATATATTAGATATTAAAATTAGGACATAAGGAATCATCATTTACCCCCCACTCGAGTTATGATAGGGATGTCAAATCGGGTTCATGAGTCATCTTTAGGTTGACCCAAAACTATGCGACCCGAACCCGACCAAAATATTAAATGGATCAAAAAGTTTAAAATTGAACGCGATGTGCCTTTAACTCGACCGACCCAAACCCGACCCGCATAGTCAATTTAATATATGCACAAGTTATTTGGGTCAAAACTTTAGTTAATTTTGAGTCAAGTTCGGGTCAAATTTAAGTTGGTGGGTCAATTTTGAGTCAATTTTAGATAAGCGAGTCAACCGGAACCCGACCCCAAAAAAATCAAACGTGTTAGGATTTTGGACCAGAGCCCACTCAAAAATTAATCAAGCCAACCCAAACCTAATTTTTTTTATTCAAGTTCGAGTAGAATTAGCATCGGGTCAATTTTTTAACACACCTAAGTGACATCAATCCCAGTAAAATATTTTGAGAGCAATTGGTTGTTGAGGCGAAAAAGGCAAATATAACAAAGGTTGCGACAGATCACCATAGTGCAATGGCAAAGCATGGCGGATTGTGACCAAGTCTATAGTTTCTATGCGATAACTTATTAGTGACCAATCTGGCCTGGTTGGGTTAATCCTATGTCGGTACCTTTTCAACTAGTTTTAGCTTTATAAAAGGCCAATACAACCAATTGGGAAAAATCAGATGTAACTCTAACTTTATTCTTTAATAATGAATTTTAATTAATGCTTGTTTCAGATATTTGTCATTCAAAAGTAGGATCTTTATGGTTCCAAGAACATTTATATTCATCGAAAGAAAAGAAAAAAAAAAGAACTACATCTGATTCCACTACCACCTTTGATTTGCTAAAAAAAAAAAAAAAGAATTGAGGAAGTTAAAAAAATAAAAAAGTCAACCAAATGACATGAAACAAGACAAGGTGGAAAATATTGCAAACCAGCAACCAATTTGCAGTTGCATCCAACACACAGATCCTAAAAAATGGAAAAATCATGTCAAGGAGGTCTTCAGGAACTAAGCAAAATTTTCTGGTACATTTCAAAAAGCATACCAAAAGGTCAACAATACTAAAGGTTGACAAAATATCTACCTCGCAGAGCTGAAAGAAACCATGCCAACTGCGGAAGAAGTTGAATCTAGATCAGAATGGTTCAAACATTTTGTGAAATTACTCTTGTACAAATACAACCAACACTACTGCAAAACACTTACGAGGTTCAATTTTGATCCAAAATTGAAAACTTTATTTATTCTATTTCAATATTTCCTATGCATTATAGATGGCTAAAAACTTTATGAAACCAATAGTTTGAAGGACTCGTAAAATTTAGGCTCACTATACAGAAATTGTGTCCATTCTATCTAACAAATGCAGCATTGCTTACTGAATTCTAAACTTGATATATAAAAAGTCCAGTTATTTTGCATATTTTCCTAAAACAAAATTGACCTTCAACATAAAATTGTGTTCCGAATGAGGTAAAATTGACCTTCAACATAAAATTGTGTTCCGAATGAAAAGCAGGAAAATATCGCCTATTAACTGGAGAAGATTCTATTGACAAAGAAAAGCATGTTTGACAATGGAATAAGAGTCAAGAGCACACCTTGCGAAGATTCTCCTCAGCTCGCTCCTTTTTAATCCTCGCAAGCTCAGCCAGTAAAGCTTCCGTGTCATCCTCATCATCATCATCATCATCACTAACAACAAGAAACGAACTTTACCAAAAGAGAGAAAAACAAAACCCAATAAAAGAGCATTTAGTGGATTCTAAGAATAAAATAGAAGTTAAAACTTTGCTTGTCATTTTCATTTGCGAAAAAAAAATAAAAGATGAGACAAAAAAAATATTGTGATACGACCAACAAGAGTGAAGCAAACTAATACATTCAATGGAAAGCTTGTTTATACTCGTTTAAAAAGACAACTGATCCATCCTAAACATAATTAATAAAGTTCAACCATAGATAGCAGTAAAGCTTGAGCACTCTTTTGCTCTTAAGGCCCATTTATGTTAAATATATTCAGATAATAATTGAATAAGGTTGAATAACGACCGTGTTTTTTTAACAATCAAGTTAACTAAATGCTCAATCAATTTTTTATTAGAACCTTATTTAATAAATATAAGTTGTTGAAACAAATAACATTTTAATGGAAGTACACATTATAGGAATAATAAGATAGAAGCTCAAATTAAACAAATGATTAAATAGTTCCATTTCATTATATTTTGTTTCTTAGTAATAATTGAATTCTGGAAAAAAAAAAGAAACTAATTACAAATTAAGATTATAAGATTCATTTCTTTGTGAAAAAAAAACAATCGAAGGAATTATATCAATAATGAGAATCAAGCATCTAAACTGTATTTAGCTAGACTTGATTAATGTTCAATTTTGGCCCAATCTCAACAAAAACAACAAGCATTTGGGGTCGGCAATTTTGGCCCAAGCTCAATAAAAACAAAATAAATAAGATTGAAAGGGGTTTTTAGACACTGTGACGTTCAATTTCAACTAAAAAAGGATAAAAAAATAAATAGATAAAAAAGATGCTCGTCGCTCAGCTCCATTTGGTTGTTTCACAGCTCTAAGAACTGACAAGCCTAATAGTACTTGAAATGTATTCCTGATTCTCCATGGGAAACGTAAGATTATTCAAGCTAATATTTAATATAAACTCAGCATGATATGTCACACACTAAATGGAGAAAGAATAATAAACTTAATGGAAAACATAGATAACCAAATATATAGAATAAATAAACTAGAATGAGTGATATATTGCAAAAAGAGACGAAGAAATCCAAGTATTTATAAGAGTAAAAGACAAAAAATTGGGTGGGAGGAAGAATTAGATGATGAGAGGAAAGAATGCTTCACCAACATACACAGAATTAAGATTGAAATATAATGTAGAGCAGCAATAATACATGACATGACAAGTATTCATCCCTGAAGCAAGAGTTATAGGTCAGGATTAAGCTCAACATTCTTATAAGCCCTACCAACAGATATCATGGAAGAAAAATTTGAAACTGTTCAAACTATAGGACAGCCAAAATAATAGAAGTAATATTTTTAACCATACTTGAAAACTAGGGCCTAGGTAGAACATTGAACCTAATAATTTACACGTTGTGTAAGGTGAGATGATGGGTTGGCATGCCAACGCTTTAGACTTCAAGATAGACAGAAAAACAAAATGGACAAAAAATCAAGCTTAGGCTTCATCTTATAACCAAGCAAACATTAAGTAAGAACATATATTTAAGTAAATGAGGTTTTCCTTCATCAATATGCAATACAGTACATTCAAACTAGAAAAATGCATTCCAAACCAAAAGTATATAATTATAGATTATTTAAGGATCATAACCTAGCTTTCATGCATTTAAAATTATCATAAGCATAAAAATCAACACGAGACATCAGAATATGCTACATCACACAAAAGATTACAATAAGAGAGCTTCTACAGCACCAATGTAAAGCTCAATAAAAAGTTCTTTATCTTATAATTTTAGAAAACCAACAAGCCAGAAAACTTCTGAACAAAATACCAACTCAAAATAAAGTCTGTTTTTAAAAAAACAACAATGTATATTACAGATGACAATTAGTTCATTTATTTCCAATCAAGTAAGAAATATGCAATAACTGAAAAAAAGAATAAAATAATAATAATAATAATAATAATAATAAAATAATTGTTGGTTAGAAAGGTAGTACCCATTGCAGAATGCTTAACTCTCGCTCCTTCCACACTTCCTCTCATTTGAAACGGAAGAGCAGGGAACAAGAGGGAGAGCGGAAAGATCAAGAAAGAAGGTTGTGCCCTAGCCGAGGAAGGAAGAAGAAACCATAGGAGAAGGAGAGCAACTTTGTGCAGGGAAGAAGAGGAGGGAAGTCACCGATTTAGTGCGCAACTTTGTGCCCTAGACGAAGAAAGGAGTCAACGACGCCGCTTTTCTCCTCCTCCTCCTCCTCCTCCTCCTCCTCTACTACCCTAGTACTATCATTCGCATACTGCACATCAGTGTTATTTGCCTCAGCCTTCTTCCTTTTCTTTTTTCTCTTATCACTTTCCTCATTACCGACCCCTACCCCTACTCCCACCTCTTCAGTCAATGTTGGACCTTCTGGCTCTACCACCTCATGCTTTCTCTTCTTAGCATGGTTGCTTGGAGTTGTCGAAGCCGTGCGCAGCTCTATTGGGTCAAACCGAGGCCGAAGGATGAAAAAAGCACTCACGGCATTGTACTCGCATAGAAGAGGAGGAAGAAGAACCGAGGTCTCTGTGTGCTTTAGAGTTGTCGAGTTGTGCAAAGGAAAAGAGACAGGAGAAGGCATTTGCGATGTGCTCGCACAGAGCAAGGAGGAGATCGCAGATGTCGTCTTAGCGTGCAAAAGAGAGAGCTAGCGTGCCCTGTTGAGGTGAGACAGGACCCAAGGAACAATACTCGCGCGACCGATCTGAGACCAAAAGGAGAAAGAGGTGAGCCTCGTGCATGAGTCTTAAGGCTCTTAGACCAAATCCTAAGGTAAGTCATTGAATCATTTAAGTTTTAATTATATAACATTTTTATTTAATAAATGGGTTATTATATTAAAAATTAAAATTTATGATTTTAAATTAGGTATCGTAGTGGATGACCTTGGAAGCTTATTTTGAATTTTGAAATGAGCAACAAAGTATTTTCTAGTTAGTTTATTTCAAATCTAATTGGGTTTGACTTGATCAGTAACATCAAAAGGGTGGGCCCCATCTTAAGTTACGGTAGGGTCAACCTTTATGTGAGATAGAAATTAAGCTTTTTCAACATATTATGTATATTTTTGTTATCACTCATTGAGAAATGCCTAGATGCCTCAAGAGACATCTAAAAAGGTTTTAAATTTTACAGATTTTTTTTTAATCATAGAATCTAATGCTAATGTTTTAGACTATAGAAAATAAGCCACTATATGCTATGATAAAAATTTAATAAATGGAGTTCATAGAAGAGCATCAAAAGTTGAAGAAGCATGGATGCACACTTGGGAATAGTGCATCTTGAGGAAGAAGAGCAATATTTAAAAGAGAAAAAAAAATGATGGTGAGTAAGGAATCTAGTGATGGAGAGCATATATAAATATCAAGTCCCGCTAGATTAAGGTTGATGCTTTCGTAGTACAATGACAATTCATTTAGAAAATATTATTATTTTTGTTCGAGATATTTGGTGATTTGTCATGCTAACATTTAGGCTAACTACACGATGGTTCGTCATAATTTATGCTAAATTTTTTAAGTTTCATAGCAGAAAGAGAACCATACTCTTTTTCTATCAATTATTATTGGAGTTACGATTTGTTGGGAATATGATGATCATGAAATTTAAAATTAAGAAGTACGGTGACCCAAAGTGATTTAGGATGTAAATAATTAGAATGCATGGTGTCCTAATTTAGTGGAGACTTGTGAGGGCACTCATTGGCGTGTTAAGATGTTTGAAATCACAAGTGAAGAAGAGAAAACAATGAGCAAAATTGTTTGTTTCTTCGAAACATGGGGCCTTGGCAAAAGGGTCAAAGGAAACTATTGCCAAAAACTTGCTTCTAGAGTTTGAGATTTTTGTACATAATAAGCCACTTCAATAAACCCTATTATAAGCAAAGATTATAGTTGATCCATAGACAAGATTGTGCTTTTATTAAATCGCGTATGAATCAATTTATCTCTATCATTCAAGATTTGATAAATGTTAAGCTTGGGACAAATTGTGCAATGTCATCAAAATCCAACTTTTTTGCTATTTCACCATGTTCATCTTATTACATGAACGATTAAGCTTGAGAATCGATTATTTGTGCAGGATATAAATGAATGGCCGATCATTGATCCATTGCCCTCCTACGGCCGCGGAAGAGATGCTCCTGGTGGAAGATTCACCAGCTTCATTATGGGATCCAACCTCACTGATGTAATTATCACTGGTAATTTGAGTTCCTATTCACCTTTTGTCATCAAAATTCCCCTTTTATTTGCGCTGTCTTCTTCAGCCTGTCAAACAAAGTTGGAAGCTTTGGACAAAAACTATGTAAAGTCAGAATCTTTTTCTCTTCAATCATCACAAAAAGAATGCCTTTTTTTCAGGTGACAACGGAACCATTGATGGCCAGGGAAGTTCCTGGTGGGCGAAGTTCCATCACAAGCAGCTCAAGTACACCCGGGGCTACCTTGTTGAGTTAGTTTATTTCAAATCTAATTGGGTTTGACTTGATCAGTAACATCAAAAGGGTGGGCCCCATCTTAAGTTACGGTAGGGTCAACCTTTATGTGAGATAGAAATTAAGCTTTTTCAACATATTATGTATATTTTTGTTATCACTCATTGAGAAATGCCTAGATGCCTCAAGAGACATCTAAAAAGGTTTTAAATTTTACAAATTTTTTTTTTTAATCATAGAATCTAATGCTAATGTTTTAGACTATAGAAAATAAGCCACTATATGCTATGATAAAAATTTAATAAATGGAGTTCATAGAAGAGCATCAAAAGTTGAAGAAGCATGGATGCACACTTGGGAATAGTGCATCTTGAGGAAGAAGAGCAATATTTAAAAAAGAAAAAAAAATGATGGTGAGTAAGGAATCTAGTGATGGAGAGCATATATAAATATCAAGTCCCGCTAGATTAAGGTTGATGCTTTCG